ACAAAGATAGTACCTTTGTCAAGTGCAGAGGACTGATATCCTTACTGCCCTTTATAAAATACACTGGCTCTCCAAGCTCAGTTCTTTTCCTGTAACACAACAAACTGTACATTACAACTGTTGTCTCGGCATAATTGTATTCTCTTGTGGAAACTGGTGCTTAAGGAACAAAAACAAAAATTCTAATGTTATGGCTACTGTTATTGCTGACCAATTACTGTTATTCTCTGATCCAAGAGTCTTACTTTTTCTTCCGACATCATTTGAACTAGCAAAAAATCTCAAAATCTTAGTAGTTGTCAATGATATTGACATTGGTAATTACCTTAGAAACATAATGTTCTCTTCTCTAAAATTTTGGTTAATAGTGAAAAACTTTCATAAGCTTAAAGCAGAATTTTTTCAGTGTATATTAACACTGATTTCACTGTTATATAGACAGCACACAGAAAGGTATGAGTATATCTGGTTGGCTACCACAGTAAGCTCTTAGAAGTACCAGTGCATGGGACACAGTAGGGACCTGTAGGGTTTACCAATCCTCATTTGTCCCAGTCAATGAATTGGTGAATTACCATTTGTTTTAGGGCAGAATTAATAGGAAAAAATTAAGTGCGAGGGAGAAAAGCACTGGGAAGAAAAAGAGGTGTTCCCTGCAAACAGAACGGACCACTGCGAAAACAAGAGAGCAGCAGAGCCCCAACGTCAACAGCTGCTGTCTTTTTGTCTCTTCTGGCAGTTGACCCCATGGCTCCCCTTGATCTTGTGCCAGAAGATTGATATGAGGTGCCAAGTTTGATGTGTTCTAGTTCAGATGATTGGTACCAGGTGCAAAGCTTGGCTTCATCCTGTCAGGCTTGGGTGCGGCTGTTCTGTGCCTGTGGTTAGTGATGCCCACCTGTTCGGCGACATTGCCACACCCTCTCCCCCTGTTACATCTCTCCCTGAGAAGTGTAAGATCTCTGCCTAGATATATCTACTTCCTGCAGAAAGGGACTACTGGCCCTACCTGCTGGGGATTATGTACTCTCTAACTACCTTAGGACGATGTGGCTCACTAACCGGCCTGAGCACAACTTGTGAGAAAACCATAATGAGTGTGTGTCTGCTTGTGAAGCACTGTAGAAGTGTCCGTTGAGTGGAGGGGAGCTCCGTGGACCTGAAGAGCGTATTAGATCGGCTACTGCTGGCCAAGTAACCTGTAACAGATAAGGAGTCATTTGTGACTTTGGGGCCATGCCGCCGTGTTGTTCTTGCAATGGCCGTTCTGTTTGCAGGGAATAGCTTCTCTTTTTCCTTCCAGTGCTTTGCTCCCGAGCACTTGTTTTCTGCTGATTCTCCTATTTTCTTGTTTTTCTTATTTCTGCCCTAAAACAATGGTAATCTTTCACATCCACCAATTGTCTTCACCAATTTATTACTTGCCCATCCTTGAAGCAGAATTGGAATCTTGGTCTCTAAAAAGGAACCTTAGATCTTCCAGAGATTCATAGGAGTATCTTTTTTTACTTCAAAGGATCTTCTTCAGATTTTGCAGGTGAAGCTCTGTCTAAGCTATGGTGGTGGAGACCAGGCAAGCTTGGCAGATCTGTCAGGCAGTGACTGCTAGCCCTGGGCCTGTGAAGATTCTAGTGGTCATTTCCCACATGCAAAAAGAATCATGAAAGGTTTTTACAGCCTTCTGCTGTGTTGCCTAAGGAAGGATCAGTCTGTTTTCTAAATACCCGTGTCCCTTTTTAACTCCCCCTTTGTGCTAAGTCCCAATTATCTATTTGAGGAGTATAGACTGGTTTTAACGGTTCCTTGGGAATAGGGAACAAGGCAGGGTCTCAAAGGGCTGCAGAGCTGCACTTCTTCCCTTCCTGGTTTCCCAAGGAGACAAATGTCTTTGATGTTCCAGCAATGAATGACATTTGGGCAGACAGACTGTCTCTAGAAGTTGTAGAATTTCCCGTTTGTATTTTATAGTTGATTGTTAGTTAGCAAGCTCCTTTCTTTTCAGATTGCTATACGGGCATGCAGTGCCAGAAAGACATATTTAGAATCTCTGTGCATGTGTAATTTTTTGCCCTTTCATAATATTCAAGCCTGAGTAAGGGCTATGAGTTGTGGTTTGTGAGCAGAGCTTCTTGGGGGAAGGAGTTGGCTTCAGTGACCTGTTGGAAACTGACAACTGATAACTCACTTTTTGATGTTCTCCTTGAACAAAGCTACCTCCTTCAGTAAACCACACCACCTCGGTCTCAGAAGAGTAGATGTATTGTCTCGGAAATAACGCAGAACCACAAATTTTACTTTGGAGGATTTCCTTTTTCTATAATTTATATAGACTAACCCCCTCTCTACCCTCTCTGCAGTCTTTTTATTTCAGTGTGCCATTCAACTGATTAGGTTTTTCCTTTTTTTCAATATTGTGTATCTCTTTATTAGTACATGTTTGTAGTACATACTATTTACATTCCTTGCACACATCAAGAGGTGGCCTTACTTTTCTTTGTCACAATTACTTTGTAGTAATTTAATTTCACTGAAGATACAACCCTTTTTACCTTGAGCAGATCTGTTTTTCCCAAGTCTTTCTGTCACACATTTAGAGATAATAAAATGACACATTTCCCCACTGTGTTTCTACCCTCCAATTGGTTCTCAATTACTTCACCTTATATTATATATTATAAATACATAAAATTACCTATAGACTATGTAGCTTTCATCCTTGGTACTCAGAGTGTGGTGCTGAGGCCTCCATCATTGTATCACCAGGGAACCTATTACCGCTGCAACTTTTAGGGTTGCTGCCTAAATCCAGAATGATTGAAATTCCAGAGGCTCAGTCCAGTAATCTTCATTTCAACATGTTCTCTAAGTAATTCTTATACTGTTAACAGCCACCACATTCACCAAATCTCACTACATGAGTAAATTCTAAAGGGCTATCACAGTTGTCAAAAACATATCTGAATAGTTCATTAAAAATAAGATGGGCCAGGAATTTGGCTCAGTGGCATAAGTGCCTGCCTGGCAAGCGTGAGTCATGAGTTCAATCCCCAGTACTGAAAAAAAAAAGTTGGCATTGACCAGAGCTTGAAACATAATTGTTGGACATAAAAATCTATGTTCCTGGAATTTTGAGAGGCTAAGAAAGGAGCATCACACATTCAAGCCCAATCTGGGCAATTTAGGAACTTACATCAAAGCAGAAGGTTAAAAAAAGAGCTGGGAATGTAGCTCAATGCAATGATGTGACAAAAAATTTATATTACTTTGTTATCAGAGAGCTGATATGGAGTATCTTGGGAGAAAGCTGAAAGGAATCTCATAGTACCTCTCTATATTATTTTTATAATTTATTAAGATATTTCAAAATTTAAGACAGAGGAAACTTATTTCTATGTGAAAAGCATAAGATGTTCTTGTGGCACATTAATGAAAAAACAAAAATGTTGACTAGGGAGCCAATGCCACATTGAAATCTTTTGTGCATCATACCAATGATAAGGAAAAAGGGAGATGATTCAGTTCTAAAGATTCTGCTCCTACTTGGGAATTGTATGACGAACCATAAACAATTAAGTTGACATTCATAAAATTTAAAAATGTAAAATATGTAAATATATTCACAAAGAAAATTTATAATTCACAGATCAAGTTTAATTTACAAATGTATGTGTGTAAGGTTTACAGATTTTCATTGGCATGATTATGCTTCAAAGGACAAAAATGACTACATGATAGAGCAGGGGTGATTTTTATGTTGGCTCAGGTCCTCTGAGAAGCAGGGGCCAAATGGCATTGGACATGCAAGAAATATATTAGGGGAGATGCTTGTGAAAGCTAAAGAAGCAGAAGTAAATTCGGCAGAAAGAATCATCAGACCCCAGTGTGGGTCTAACAATGCGGAAGTTGATGGGGAAGGAAGGATAATTGGTTTGAAGCCTTTAGGCCACAGCACAGATCTATGTAAGTTTTGGCTGGACCAAAGCAGAGTGTGGATTAAAGTTGCCTCTGGATGAATCCTGCATCCCACATCAGTAAATTGGCTCCAGCAAGCCTTATGTGCTCAGATGTAAGCTGGGAGCAGCTGGGCAGAGGTGTGGTGTCATCTGTGTCCTGATGTAACACATGATAAAAATGAATTTAATAGCTTTCATAAGTACAACAAAAGGTCCAATTTAATTCTTTTATAATTGGACCACTCACGTATTCTGCAGACACATCATCCAATAAGATTTATTTGAAATTTGAGTGGAAACTACAAGATTCATATTTTCCTTGTCTCTACTCTCTCTCTTTACCCTCTAGAGTTTGTATTATTAACACTTAGCATTAGTATGGTACTTTTGATGAAACAATATTTCATCAAATACATTATTGTTAGCTGAGGTCCAAGTTTATAATGTGGTTTACTGCTTCATCTGGTACATTCTGTGAGCTTTGACATAATTGTTTTGATATGTACCCACCTTTATAGTCCCACACAGAATAATTTTACTGCCCTACAAATTTCTTATGCTTCACTTCTTCATCCATTTCTCCCTTACCACCCCACCTCAAACCTCTGGCAACCACTGATCTTTTACTGACTCCCAGTTTTTCCAGAATGTTATGCATTTAAAATCATAGAATATATAGCCTTTTCAGATGTACATTTAAAATATGCATTGAAGGTTCCTCCATATTTTTTAAACCTGTTAGCTCATTTCTGTTTATTTGGAATGTACCACAATTAGCTTATGCAGTCACCTATTCAAGGACATCTTAGTTGCTTCCAAGGGTTAAAATATGAACAAAGCTACTATAACTATTTATATGGAGGTTTTTGTTTGAATGTATTTTTAATACAGTTTTGTAAAATCAAGTGTGATTGCAAATCATATGTTAAGAGTATGTTCAATTTTGTAAGAAATTGCCATACTATTTTAAAAAATGACTGCAATGCAGTTATGAACTTTTCATAAAGGAATCATTAAGAACAAAATCAACATTTTATAATATCTTACCAACTTCTTTTTCGGAGGCGGACAAGCAGTTTTCTTTTTGTTCAGTAGAGGACAATGACAAAGTAGAAGCCAGAGAAAGCCTTTCTGCACTCCAGGCTTGAGGGCCCCACACCTTCTTCACACAAAACCAAGCTGTAACCTAGGTAAATAGGGATTTCTGAAAAGAACTCAGTGGTTATGGCTGTTTCTTCCCTAGCCTCATCTGCTTATTATCATCTTTTTGACATCTAGGGTGCCTATACTTTAAGTCTGTGGCCTGAGTCAAAACATGTATTTCCAAAGCTTTGTAAACAATTGTTGGCAGTTTCTAAATATGTTCACTGAAATTAACAATGGGAGGTGATGCTGGATTGTAAGAAAAGTATTAATTTTCTTCTAACTTCAGTCATTGAAGATAGATTTTAAATCTTGTTTTCATTCCCTAAAAAAGATCTTTATAAAGAGAAACAGATGGTCTACCACGCCTAGCACACCTGTTTAACTGGTTACTCTTAATCAGACAAAGCTTTAAACACAAAAGATTCATACTGATTTACAAAACATACTTAATAATTATAACACGTGCTCCTCTGCAAAGTGTAAAGGAACTGAGGTGTTTTTAATTTTTTAAAAACAGTCCCATTGTCATCAATAAAAGGAAATTCTACTTCAGAAATGAAGGCAGGTCAATTACCTTTTGTTCCTGACTACAAACATAAAACATGCTTATTGTAAAATTTTAAGCAATAGTTAAAATTACCCAATAGTTAAATTTATACCATAAAAAGATAATCATTATTAATACTTTGAGTAACAATAAACTTTTAGGCATTTCTCATTTAGTACATGAGATTTATGTTGAGCAAATGTTGAGCATTTGATAAGTAAACAGAACAATAAATATTTTCTTTTACTTATTGATTTTTTTTTCATTTGCCCATATTTCTGTTAGATAATTCTTTTTCTTATGAATTTGAAGACCTAACTGTATGTTAGATGAGGCAAAAAGTATTTGCCACATTTCTAAAAGAGATGCTTTTCTTTTTTCTTTTTTGCATTTCTATTTGGAAGCCCGTTTTAAATCTTATCCATAAATGTACCAAAAAAGTATTAGTATTCTGAGAAAAAGATGCATATTGCTAAGACAAAATGATTCAAAAGGGTTTGTTTTCTATTCTCAAAAGAGATTTCAGATGACAGTTACAAAAATTATTTATTTGATGGTAGTGTCTAACTAATTATCTGATAGATGTGATTATGGGTTGGTAGTGGAAATCAAGGCAAACCAAAGAACACAAAACAAATTTACATATACATACACACTGCCCAGTTTACAGTCTTGTGACTTACACTTCAGCATTCTAAAATGCTAGCGTATGTCTATCGTCTGTATCACTTCAAGAAAAGAACTGGAATTCAAGAAGTAAATTAGTACAACAGCAAGCTCCCTTGTGGCAATCATAGAGACACCTGGGTCCTGATGCTACATTAATTAGGTAACTGCATGTCAGAGCAAGTCACCTTAAGTTAATGCTTTTCCATTGTTTCCTGAGGAAAACGGTAAATTAAAATGGTAAATTTAGACACCTACTCAACCAAATATGGTTTTGTATTACTCAAGGAGCTCTGTAAATAATATAATGTACAGAGAAAAACTCCTAATAGTCTAATAACCTAAAAAATAAGGAGATTCTGCCCTCCCTGTTTTGCAGTGAAGAGTAAAAATATAGGGAGAACAGAATATAATATTGTTTCCACTGTATAAATTTTGAATTAATTTTTGTGCCAGTTTATTCCTAATGCAATTTAATACATTGAGGATGTAATACAATATATGCAAAAATCTTCTATACAGAAGCAGCAGAGACTCGGGCTTCAACGTCAGTCATCAATAAACAAATCAAGAACAGAGAGAGGAGCAATATTATTTTATCTAACCCTTCTCTCACCTTCTGGTAGAAAGAATGCTGTCTTTATACAATGTGTAAGTCTGTGATACAACAGTTGTAACATGTGAGATCATTCACCTAGGTCAAGCCATATAACACAAAATGAAGAATAAAAATGTGAATTTCATCTTCCTTTAACTGTGATTTTCTCTTTAGAGAAAAGGTGTCAAATCTTTGTATAAAATGTGACCTTTTTAGTGAGTATAAAATTCTGTTCTGATTTATTACTTCATGAAGATGTTTAATTTTCTAATTAGATTGTAAAGGGAATTTGGCAGGAACTTTATCTCATTATTTTGGTGTATTTGCTCACAGTATACATAATGAATATTTGGTTACTGTGCTTTTCAAGGCTTAAGAAAATGAGCTAAAATAATTTACAAGTGTGTGACATAATTTATTTGTAATAAAACAGACAGTACCTTTAAAATATTATAAACTATCAAAGAATTCTGAAAGAAAGGTTTTATTTGAAAATAGTTAGATAAACGTATTTGGTAGTTTTCATGGAGAGTGATAAATCTGCACTTGAAGAAGCCATTATGTGTTTGCATGTATAGTGGGGGGGGGGGCTGTGTGCATGAGCATGTGTGAGCCGTGTGAGCATTCCCTAGTACAGCTGAGTATCAACTTTGTTCCTAAGCATGACAATCAAATACAGTACAATTATAGCATTTTGTAACAGTTTGATTCCTATGCAAAACCATATTTTAAAAATGATCTTTATTTTCCTTGTAAAAATAATCAAATTGAAAATTTGGCTGTCATTATATGCCTCTCTAGAGCTGAACCTGTACTTTTAAGTTTCATCTGCCTCCTTTTTTTTTTTTAGCTATAATCCTTTCTGATGATCTAAAAGCACCTATGATCCTGAAATGCACATAGTTTGCTTCCAGACAACAGGTGCTTAAAAGGTTTGCAACATGCATTTTTCCTTATAAAAGCATATAAAATGATTCTTCCATAGCAATATTAATATCTGAAGTTTTCATGATTTGCATTAATGTCATTATCCTATTAAATTTATCCTATATTGCTTTCAAAATAAAAAAGACATGGAAGGCCTGTTAAATACTTAATCATTTTCGTTTTAAAAACATTTTAGTGGTAAAATTGACTGTGTTTAATTAATGTCTGGATTAGTCTATTTAACAAACTATGACTTGATGCGAACTGGATTTAAACGCTGAAATTCTAAAACTAAAATATAGGTCCTGCCTGTCATAACTACTACAGCTTACCAACATGCATATCCTAAATATACATTTCGGTGGTCAGATTTTTGTTAAATGATAACTTCATGGCAGCGGGGAGAGAGAAGTAGTATGAAAACCTGTGACTTGCATAATCTACTTTTGCTCCAAGAGTCTATTTGCTGTCAACTAAACAAACATACTGAGTTTTTCTGTTACCTTTGAACCTATTATCACAGTGAAATTAATATTTAGTAGGCATGTACATGCTAGGTACTGTTGTAATTCACTGAATCAGTGTAAAGTAGTTATTACTGAAGGCAGTCACTGAATAGAATATCGAGGTTCAAGCAACTTGCCCAAGGTCACGGAGCTAGTGAGTCATATGATGAGTACTCAAATGTATCTGCTCTGCCCAAAGTTCATGCCTTCGACTCCTATTTATTACTTCAAACAATTCTTAGTGAGCAGGTTTTATGTGTCACTTACCCTACCAGATGCAGAGGAAAATGTACTTAATTGTGTAACTCCTTACCTCCCCGGAGCTTACTTGGAGAGACAGACAACAAACAAAAAGACAAATGACTAAAACCGTAACAGACTGTGCAAAGGATCTAGTGCAGGTATGAACCTTTTGGAAATGGGGCAGTGATAAATCAGCTGGTTCTTCCGGACACCACTGTGTCGTGCAATCCCCCCAACAGCATCCTTCTGTCCTGTCTCTGTTCTCAAAGAGTATCAAGTGACTAAATACAGTTACGTCTTTACTGACAAATCTATCAGCTGGGTCATTCCACCACCTCAGAAAAACCCCCAAAAACTGAAAGGCAGCATATTCCAAGATCCAGCCATGCTGGAACTTCAGGCGCTGAGCAAGAAAGCAATACGGCCCCCTTCCTGGTGAAGGGCCACAGTGCAAGCAAGCGGTGGGCAAGCCAGGAAGAGTACCAGTCAGTGTCTCCTGTGAGCCTACTGGTGCAGGCTGTGAATAAACATCCCAGCCCCACCCCCTCCATCAGCAACTGGGGGCCAGAGTTCTGAGCACCCCTTGGGAGGATGACAGTATGCAATATAGCAAATATGGGGATTTCCTTCTATCTTCTTTGAAGGTGACATTGTTTTCACTGCTTTGCTTTGTTCTGATTGTTTTGCTATAGTCATTATTTTGTTTTGATAGGTTTTTTAATGTTCTGATTTTGGTTTGATTTCGCTATGATTGAATGGACAACTACTGTGAAAATAATAAGATATACTATGGTACCTATTACTATTATCCTGGTATCCTGCCCTGAAGTTCTGTACCAATTTCACTGCATTGTCTTGATTGACTTTGTTCTGTAGTATTTTACTACCTTCAAAATAAAAAAAATAAAAGAAACTGAAAGGAAACATTCCTGGAGAGATGATTCATGTTCCATATCAGAAGCTTGTGCCTACCCTGAAGGTTACTTTGAAAAGCAACTAGCCCAGGTCTCTGGCCACTTGGAAGACAGAGACACACTTTTTTAGTTTGTACATGGGGACAGATGGCTTTCAATTGATGGAGATAAGCAATTAATATCTCATTATGACTAATTTTATTGGGACAATATTTTTTAAGAAAGTCCAATGGAAGCTTGTGGAAAGGGTCACATCTCTGAGAACAGAGCAAAATTCATGGTTCCATTTTAAACCTAGGGCCATTATCACTAAAGTTCTTATAATACCAACAAGATGCAGGATCACCTTTATTCATGTGACTTGAACATACATGTGCCTTATACATGCATTCATGGGAGATCCCTGTATATCCATGATTTCCATTATGAGCCTGAAAAGTATCTACTGCCACCAAAGAACCAAACTCAAATGATGACTATAATATGGGCTTTAGCCTTCAGTGCCTCTGCGATGCTTCAAGAAGCTAGCTGAACCAACTGTGAAAAATCCGCCTTTTCTGAATTTTGTTCTACTCAGGAGATAGATGTCTCCGAAGGTTGCCTAACAAAGCACCCCACACTGGGTGGCTTTAAACAATA